GTTCCCAGGACTCCTAATCATCTCGAGTCCTGGCTCTGTGTTGTGGAGCTGTAGGTGTCTCTAAGTCAACTGTAAAACAGAAAGTAAATATTTATTTCAAGTTACCAAGCCCTGCCACCCCAGCTCAGCCGTCTTCCTTGTGATGGTTTCCAGGCTCCGGGGCTCATAAACCAGGAGGGACAGCAGACAGACAGGAAGTTGGCCAGCTGACTGGGAACAGAGCCGTCCTTCCTTGGGCCTGGCTCGCCCACCCCCTGGGACCCTCTTGGCCCGGGGGTTCTCTCCCCGTGGCGCCCACGTTGTCAGGCTGTGGGGTCAGCGCTCTGCTGTCTTCTCCTGGTGTCCCCGCTCTCCTGGCCTGGCCTTGCCCAGTGCTTCTGCTGTGGGGACTGGCTCTGTCCTGGGCTCACCGAGGGCCCTTCCCCCAGGCCAGGCCTGCCGCCTGGCGCATGGCGGTGTGGGACTTTCCATTTGGGCACACGGGCGTGCGCAGCGCTGTGTGCCTGGCAGCGTGCTGTTGGGGGCGACTTCTAGGAGGGAGACTCCAGGGGCGATGCTCACCCCCGAGGATGGGATTGCTCGGTCCTGTGCCCACCCACCTTGGGAAGAGACCCACTGTGTGCAGGGGCAGACCTACAGCCCCTCACCCTCCAGGCCATGGGACCCTGGGGAGGCGGCACGGCGTGGAGGGTGGACCCTGGGCCCTGCGGCCCCTCCTTGGCTGGGGGCCAGCTCCATCCTCACTAGCCGAGCTACAGGACATGGCTCCCCGTGCCTCAGGGTCCTCTTCTGTAAAAGGTGGCAATGGCACCCGCTTGTGGGAACAGAGATCTGGGCAGGAGCCCTCAGCACCAGCTGTGCCCGTTGGGCTAACGCCAGCTTTAGCGGCACAGGAGGCCATGCGGTGGGTGCAGAGGGCTGTGGAAGGTTCCAGAAGCAGAGCTGGGTCCAGCCTAAGTGAAGCAGAGGCAGGGCGAGCAGCCTGGGAGCCGTCCCTTGTGACACGGACCCTCACCCTTGACCCCGGCCCCGGCCCCCAGCCACTGGGCGCACCTGGCGGGAGCTGCTCCTCCGTGGGCAGGGCCGCCTCGCCGTGGAGCTGCAGCAGGTTGTACAGGGACTCTGGCTCCATCTTCTCTCTGGCCTGCCCTGGAGGACGCAGGGGACAGAGGGTGTCAAGTCCCAGAGCCCTCAACTCACTCTGTGCTTATCTCTCATTTCCTCCCGCCCAGGAGGCTGGGGGGGGGGCGTGGAGTTCAGCTCCAGGTGGACAGGTCACCATGAGGGCCCAGGTGAGGGGACGGGGTCCCGGGTGGGCAGGAGGCCTAAGCACAGGATCGAGGACACACCAAGAAAGGCTTGTGGGGCGGGTCCTCGCCGTGCCCCCACTGTGGGTGCCCAGCAGCCCCCCCAGGCCTGCAGGGCCCTGTGGGCTCCCCCTCCCCAGCAGCCGGCAGAGCCAGCTCAGCCAGTTCCTCAGAGCTCAGAACCCCCACCCCCGGCCCAGCAGGGAGCCGGCCTGCGTGTGGGCTGGCAGATGGCACTGACGGATGACATCCCAGATGTTAGCTCCTGCGGTGGAACATGCCAACGGGGGCCTCTGGGCCCAAGGCTGAGCAGAGAGGGCTGGAGTGGGGCCGAGCGCCGAGCCCAAGCCCCCAGGCCGTCCCCACCTGCAGCTTGGGGGACCGGCAGGACTCTCCCCAGCACCCGGGCCTCTCAGGGGGTGAGGTCTCAGGGCTCCAGGCAGCTGCTCTACGGGGAGGGCCAGTCTCCTTGTTGTCACTGCTGCAGCCCTTCCGCTTCCCCAACCCTCTTCCTGTCTCTGGTCCCAGTCGCCGAGGGCCAGCAGCCTCCCCCCACTCCAGCCCCTGCTCCTTTCTTTCCAGACTCTCTCAGACAGCCGGGTGGCAGGGCACCCAGGGGTCCAGGCAGGGAGCCCCCCGTGCCCTGGGGAGGTAGGGGACTGCAGGGCCCTGGAGCCCCCCTCTTTGGGCGCACAGTGGCCCTGCTCTGAAGTGGGGCAGGGGTCACTACACTGGCCCCACAATTCCCATGTCCAGGGGACACTCAGATGCAGCCTGGGCCACAGCTGCAAGAGGGGAAAAGCCCTGGCCTGGGCTCGGGAGGCCTGGGTTCCAGGCAGGCTGTGTGACTCCAGGCAAGTCCCCTCCCCTCTCTGGTCCTCATTCATGACCAGGAGGGGCTGGACTCAATGCTGGACCTAGGTGGCTGAGGGGACACAGACGTGGACTGTCTCTAGTGACCAGCAGCCCTGGGCAAGGCTCTCTTCTGCCCCAGCCTCAGTGGCTTCCCAGAAGGGGGGTCGCCTTTGTCCCCCAGGACTGCATGAAGCTCAGAGAGGCCAGGGGTTCGGGGAACCTCTCCCTGGTACAGGGAGAGGCACAGCAGTGGCCCTGGAGCCTCAGCAGGTCCTCCGTGAGATGGGGAGAGGGTGAGGCAGCCCCTAGGCGCGATGGGGTGAGGGCCTGGTGTTGACCTCTGGCCTCCAGCCCGGGCAGCCTCAGCCAGGGGGCTCCTTCCCTGGTGGCCCTGATCCGGCTCCCAGGCACGTGGACAGGCAGGGGCTCCCGCGGCCGAGGCCTTCCCCAGGCCCATATTCAGGGACTCACCTGGCGCCTCCTGTACGCGGGCGATTGGGCCTCCCCAGGGTCCTCTGCTCCTGGGAGAGGCAGGTTCCGCTTCCTGGGCGGGTGGGTGGCCTGGGCCCTGCGGGGGCGGCAGGGGCCCTGCGCACTTCCTCTGGGGCCTGCTCTGCTGGTGGCGGTGGCCGCGGGGAGCTTCCTCCTCTGTGCTGCGGGCCAGGAGGGCGCTGGGAGGACCAGGCTGCAGGAGCCCACGGGAGCCCGGCCCCACCACAGCCTGGCTCCCAGCCCGGCCTCCCAGGCACCTCCAAAGGGGCATTCCTCCCCTCCTCCGCCCCAACCAAGCCGCTCCCTCCCCTCTCCCCACCTCCCAGGGGCAGCTTTTGAGGCCAGGACCTTACACCCCAGCCACCAGCAGACTGTCCCTCTGCTCCACCTCTGACCCCAGGCCTCCTCCCCTCCCCTGCACCTGCAAGTCCCAGGGTCCTCCAGTCCTGCTGGCCACAGCTCCATCCTCTCCCCTGACCCTGCTGACCTCTCTGCCCTCCACCCTTCGGCCCTGCTGACCCCCTCCTGTTCCCTCAGTGCCCTGCTTGGCAGCTCTGACTCTCCCCTGCCTGCAAGCCCTGCCCGGCTCTGCACTTGGACCTCGGTGCCCCCTCCTCCAGGAAGCTTCCTGCCCTCTCAGGCAGGTCCTCCCTGGGATTCTTACAGGGCCCCGAAGCCCCACTCTCCCAGCACTTGGCCTGTGACCACATGGTCGCTCGGCGGGGGCCGCAGGCTGGTGTTTGAGACAGGTCTCCACCTGGGGGGGCTCTGCAAGGGCAGGGCGGCTCTCTTTTGCCCAAGGTGGGCTCAAGGGTAAATTGGTGACTGTTATTGCTGAGGGGATGAGGCAACTTCCTAGAGGGGACAGGGCCTCGGTGGCTGAACAGGAGTCTGCTGGTTAGAGACCCGGGAGGGACCCCGGAAGCAGCACACACAGAGCCTCGGGGGGTTCGGGAGAGACCCCCGCACGGCGGGTTTGTCGGAGAACACCTGAGACCTGGGCTGGTCTCTGAGCTTAAATCTTCATGACCAGATGGACTGAGTTTCCACAGTGACAGGCAACCCTGCTGGGGACCAGGAGACAAGCCACCCTGTCTTTGCCCAGAGATCAGAGAAGTGGCCGGATCAGGCAGGCGGAAGAGCAGGGCAGAGCCGAGGGCAGGGAGGTGGGCATGCGGGGTGATGACCCGGAGCCGGGCTGCGGGTCCCATGGTCCTGGTGGCAGCTTCCGAACCTGGATCCCGGCCCCACCAGCACAGCAGAGGGCTTCACCCACCTGCTTTCAAATGCAGGAACTGAAGGGCTGGATGGGGGGACCCTGAGCCCAGTGAAGAAGGTGGGCAGGCGGAGCCCCAGCTCAACCGTGTGTGGGCCGAGTCCCAGGGCCCAGGAAGGCCATTTCAGAAACTGCTGTCGGAGCCTGACCTCCTCCAGGGTCAGCTGCTCCATGGTGGGCAGGAATCCAGCTGAGACAGGACAGGTCACCAGACGCAGCAGCAGGCCCTGTGCCCTCCAGTTATGGAGAGAGGAGCTCCGCTGTGACCGCTGGGCCCTGAGTGGCGGTGAGATCCTGGCTGCGCAGGGGAGCTGCGGCTTCCAAGGGGAGACAGGAGTTGGAGGACAGAGGGCGAGCTGGCTTTTGATTGTAAACCAAAGGTTTAACACAAGAAAAGAGCCGTCCGGGCGGCTTTAAATTCTCAGTGCAGCGTGGGCATGTTTAGAGCACCAGGGACTTTTATGATGGCTCAGAAGGAGCTCTTATCTCTTGGAGCGGCCGGGAGGACGGAGGACGGAGCTGAGAATCAGACGTGGGATCTAATCCTGTGTGATGTGGAATTAGGACGCGGCTAAATGCAGCCGCTGAGCCTTGGGTGTGAAGGGCAGAAGGAAAGAAGGGGCCTTGGGAAGTCAGCACAGTGGCTTTGAGAAGCCAGGCTCTGGAGCTCAGGGGGACTCTTCTCAGCAGAAGCAGCCCTTCCTTGGGGGAGAGCCACCGGGATGCCCCCCAGGGCCCCCAGCCTGGAGAGGTCCCTTCCTCCCCTCCCCCACCCATCACTCCCACAACCTCGGACGTGTGTATTCCTGCGGTCAGTTCACACGGTCCTGGGTGGACCAGCAACAGGCCTCGCCTGAAAGTAGAGTGCTTTTTAAAAAATGGCCAACGTTTGCTGATTTATGTCAGCACAGGAGGTGGGAAAGGTGCGGGACTAGGTTTCAGGGGGGTGGGGAGCGGGCGTTGAAGGAGCTGCTGCCGCAGTGCGCTCGCAGGAGGGACTAGGCGCTAGGCGCTGGCAGGAGCCACCAGGGGCTCCACTGTTTGACAGTTGGTGGCTGAAAGTGGGCTCAGCCTGGTCAGTGCTGAATGATGGGACAGTGGGATTCCTGGAGGAGAGTCCAGAGGTTGCCCTGGGAAGTGCCGTGGTGACTGTCTCTGTAGCTTAGAAATGGCGTTGTGAGATGTGCCTGGGCTCCCTGAGCTCAGGGGGTTGGGGTCATTCCAAAATGCAGAGGCCCAGGGGCAGTGGCTGACCACACCCAGGGGACGACTGGGAGGCAGGAGGTGTGACCAGAGCCAGGCTTTTACTGATGATCTTGCAAGATGGGGCATCTGGGGAGCAGGCATGCCCAGGGCAGTGACAATCACATTCTATGTCCTGGGGCGCAAGGTCCCCCCCAGATCCTCACTGGCTGAGTACCTTGCCGAGGTTTGAGGTTTGACTGTCTCCTACTGGGTGTGTCCTGAGCTCCCTGTCCCTATCAAGTAGTAAAGCCAGGACACAGTCACCTACAGACACAGTCAGCACAGCCCGTCCACAGTAGCCCTGGGGCCTGTGTGCAGCGCTTGGCTAGCGAGCGATGCCCGTGATGGTGTTGAATTTGAACATCAGGAGAGAAGCGCTGGGGCAAGCAAAGACGGCAAGTTTTATTTAAAGATAGTGACACAGACTTCTCCGCAGGGAAGGGGACCCAGAGTTGGTATCCAAAGAAGTGGGCGTGTCCTGTGCCTTTATTAGTCTTAGGTTCTCTTTGTCCTCCCGCCCTCTTCTGACCTCTCTCCACCCTGCGTGAACCCTCCTGGGGACACGCTGAAAGGTGGGAAGCAAATGAGCCCTGGGAAGGGCCAGTGGGGGGCTGACTGCAGCAGGAAGGGAGCCCAGGAGGTGCTTCCTGAACGCCTTTGGGAGGAACAGAGCAGGCAGGTAACCTTGGTAACGGGTGGGGGAAGGGCTCCGCGGCAGTAGCGTTCCCAGAGGCCCTCTCCATCCTCCCAGGCCAAATCAGCTTTCATCTCCCCTGTCTACACCCATCACCTGATCACCGTCGACCCGACTGCCTGGCCTTAATTCTGGCTTCACCAGCACATTTTGCTCCATCAAAGTACACACAGGAGAGCGGAGTCGGCAGGGAGAGCAGGCCTTTCCTGCCCGGAGCTGCGTAAACTGTGGGCGCTGAGATCTCAGTGTGGAGAGACCGCGTCAGCCCTCCTGGGGCCACCTGTCGTCAGCTGACTCCAGCCAGCCAGCCAGCCACAGCGGGGGAGCCCCACGCGTGCAGGGGTCTCAGCGTGGGCTCCCCCGGCCCCCCAGGGCTGGCTACTCATCCACAGCCCAGAGCCACTTCATCTGTCCATCAGTCTGCCATGCAAAGTGTCACTCTGCACATGTGCCATGAGGCGACAAAGAGTGGGAGGCACTGTTCTGGATGCCTTGTGGGGACGTGCTGATCTAGCCACCTGGGAACTCTCTGGGGACCTACTTGTCTGGCCACAGGGCTGAGCCCTCCCCGGTGAAGTTTCAGGGGCCTCCCCTGGCCTCTCCGACAACCAGCAAAGTGTGGGGCTGGGTGTGGCCCGGGGACAGTGGCTGCCTAGCGTGCACAGGGCCTGGGGTTGACCAAAGGAGAGGCTCAGCACCTGATGTCGAGACCCCTCGGATCTCAAAGGCAGCTCACTCGGGACCCTCCAGCCCTTGCTCAGCGTAACCTGCGGGGCTGCCCAGTGGACCCAGCTCTGGAGAAGTGCCCAGAGTCCTCCACCTGGTCCTGGTGGCCCAGCTGCAAATGTGAGAGGCAGGCCAGGGCCTGAGGGGGCCTCCAGCCCCTGGTGATTGCTGTGAGCTGGGGCACAGCTGGGGCCCCGCCACGACTCAGTTCCTGTTTTGCCGGATGCAGAGCCGGGAGGTGGGGTGTGAGAGGGCGCGGCGCAGCGAGAGGTGGAAGAAATGGCAGCTTTTTATGTTGTGGGGTTTTCCCCACAACTAAAACGTCTTGAAGTAAATACATGCAGAGGTCTCCTCGCTCATCTCCACATACCTCAGAACGTGCCCCTGAGAACAAGGACCGTCTCCTACACGGTGGCACTGAACACTAAGACCCCCAAGAAATCTACCATTACATGTTCTCTTAGCATTTCACTCCTGTACGGATTTGCCAAGTGCTCAAAATGCCTTTGACCACCGTGTGTGTGTGTGTGTGTGTGTGTGTGTGTGTGCGCGCGTGCGCGTGCATGTTTGTGCACACATGTGCACGTGTGTTTATTACTCAAGGGTCCAATCAGAGACCACATGCTGCTGTGATTGCCTTGGTGACTCGTGACTTGTAGAGCCCTTGGATCCAGGACAGTCTTTCAGGACATTTACACTTTTAAAGCGTCCTGGTCAGTGGGCTTGGAACTTACCATCTGTCACTCTTTGGTTCCTTTTATTGACTATTCCCCCGCTGGCTCCAAGTCACCCTCGTGTCGTTGTTTCTTGGTCCCTACACGTCTAGGCGTTTTTACGGAAGGCTGGACAGCACAGGTTTATGTGGAGAGCTGGACCGTGCAGGACCCGGGTCACCTTGCTCCCTGGTCTGCTTCTCATCTAAAGCCTCAAACCACGGCTTCCCGTCTTGAGTTTTCTGGTTATTTCTGGAGGAAACGTAGCTCCATAGCCGAAAACTCTTTCCCCATAAGTACTTGTCCATCAAAAAGAGGTGTCCAAGTACAAACTGATGACCCTACCTTAACATAGTCATCGAGATGAACCTCCTAAAGGACAAAGCGACACGGCGTGTCCCCCAGTGATGCGCTGAGAACACCTCTGCCCCAAAGTGCACGAAGCCTCCAACAGCCCAAGGTCCGATGGCAGTGCACGTCCCGTCCCTGCCGTGGGGATGAAGGGCGTGATGGGGACGACTGAACACAGCCCAGGTGGCAGTTAGCTAACGCTGCCCCATCTGCGTCGTCTGCTCCTCAGGACACCTGTGCCGTGTCACGTGAGAGTGCTGCTAGGAAACAGACCCAGGTGCAGAGGGAGTTGCGTGTGTAACACTCTGAATAACGTGGGGGAGATGGCGCACTCGGGTAAACAAGGCAATGTGCATGGAAAGACACACACGGTTATTATTTCAAGAGAGGGCCACAGAGATACAAAGGGAAGAGGGTGAAGCGGGCGTGGAGCGATGGCAACATTCACAGGCTCTAGGTAACCACCCCTGGTC